GTTGGTTGATGATGGATGGAGGGGACTGTAACCATGGCAATGAAACGATACACGATAGGATGAATGTAAAGCTAATGTTCTCCCATGAAAACTATCACATAATTCACAATAAAACATTTAAAAGAAAAAGAAAAGAAACCATTACTGAGTAAAGAACTCAGACATATGGGTGATTCAAAAATTATCTGCACTCTGACTGCAATTTACATTAATCAACTTTCAGAAAAGACAAATGTATCACTTTTTGACATAATTTCTTTGCTTATCAATACATTTTGTACATCTGGCAACAAGCTTTGTATTCCGTTATTTTAAAAAATGGTTTAGGCTGAGCTGTGAGCCACGAATGCATCACTGTCTTCACTTCTTCATCAGAGGTGAATCTTCATCTTCAAAGGGCTGCTTTCAGGGGACCAAACAAGTGAAAGTGTGATGGAGCAAGATCAGGACTATAAGGAGGATGCTTTAACACCTCAAAACCGAGTTTTTGCAGAGTCAACAGTGTGAGCAGAAGTGTGTGAACAAGCATTGTCAAGCAAGATCACACCTTTGGATAGCAGTCCTCTGTATTGAATCCAGAGTTTAGGCTTCAGCTCTTCAGCGAGCATCTCATTGTAATGAGCACTGTTGATTGTTGAAGCTTTTTCCTGATAGTGTTCCAGTACTGGCCTTTGAGAATCCCAGAAAACTGTAATTTTCCAGCTGATGGCTGACTTTTAAACTTTTTCTTGGTCAGTGATTGAACATGTTTCCATTCCATGCACTGCCGTTTACACTCAGGCTGATAGTGATGAATCCATGTTTCATTGCCAGTAACAATTTTTTTTTTTTTTTAACTTTGACCCGCCCGCTTTCAAGTATCAATCCAAGTTTGTTTACAGATGTCCAAATGCTTCTGCTATGCTCCTCTGTGAATTGTTTTGGTCCCCATCTTGCACGAGCTTTTTGAAACTGCCTATGAAATATGAATTATTTCATAGGCAGAGGCATGGCTGATTTGCAAATGATTTGCCACATAATCCACTGTCACTCATCTATTCAACAGAATCATTTCACATGCACGCTTAATGTTGTCATCAGCCATGGATGTGGCTGGTCACTTTAATGTAACTGGAATATAGATAATTTATGACTCATGGTTACATAAACAAAACAGTTATATCAAAATGCAATAAAGGAAACCCTGAGGAAATATTTAAATATTTATAATAATAGAAAGAAAAACAAAAAAGGAAGGAAGAGAGAAAGAAAATGGAAGAGAAAGGTAGAAAAGAAGTGACAGAAAAAGAAAGGAGGGAGGGAAGAAGGGAGAAAGAAAATGAGGAAAGAGAGAAAGAAAGAAGGAAGGAAGAAACACCCACTGTGTACGGCTTGGTCAAACACTTTAAAAACCCCCTTTAAAAAATCTCCCAGCATTTGAAAAAAAAAAAGAGAGAGAGGCAGAGAAAATACTCATGAAAATGGTGTACGGTAATTTGAGTTTCTTAGGAAGGAGGAGAGGCTGACTACTTCTGCATATTTAGCCACCAAAAACTTGATGAATAGCAGTGGAACATTGTCAGATACAGTGCCAAAAGATGAAAACATTATTAATAGCATCAGAATACTGTCAGATACAGTGCCAGAGATAAGCCCTTCAGGATGGAAGGCACTCAAAATGTAACTGGGGAAGAGCTGCCTACTCACAGAAGTGCAGGCCTTGATGGCAAGAATGGAGTAAAGCTTTTAGGAGCTACATTTGCTGATGGGGTACAATTCAAAATGAGGAGAAACAGATGCAAATATCCATTAATAATTGGAATATGGAATGCATGAAATATGGAGCTAGGAAAATTGTAAGATGCCAAAAATGAAATAGAATGCATAAAGAGCTGAGGCATTGGTGAGTTGAAATGGACTAGCATTGGCCATTTTGAATCTGAAAATCATAAGGTTTAATATGCAGGAAATGACGAATTCAAGAGAAATGGCGAAGCATTCATCACCAAAAAGAATATTTCAGGATTTATCTTGAAGTACAACGCTGTCTGTAATAGTGTAATATCCACAGGCCTACAAGGAAGATCAGTTAATACCACTGTTATTAAAATTTACACATCTATCACTAAAGCCAGTGATGATGAAATTTAAAAATTCTACCAACTTTTTCAGTCTGAAATTGATCAAACATGCAATCAAGACGTATTGATAATTACTGCTAATTGGAATGCAAAGGTTTGAAACAAAGAAGGATCAAAATTGGAAAATATAGCCTTGTTGATAGAAATTACACTGGATATTGTATGACAGAATTTTGCAAGGCACTGTACAATAAGCACTGGACTGCTAACCACAAGGTTGGCAGTTCAAACCCACCATGCACTCCTTGGAAACGCTATACAGGGTTTTTATGAGTTGGAACCTACTTGACTGCACTTAAAAACAACAATGACTTATTCACTAAAAATACCTTTTTAAAACAATATAAAAGGTAAATTATACACATGGACCTCACCAGACAGAATACACATGAATTAAACTGACTACATTTGTGGGGAGAGACTGTGATGAAGCTCAGTATCATCAGACAAAACAAGGCCAGGGACAGACTATGGAACAGACCATCAATTGCTCATATGCAATTTCAGGCTGAAACTGATAAAAATTGAAGCAAGACCACAAGCGTCAAAATTTGACCTGGAACATGTTGTTCTTGTTAAGTGCCATTGAGTCGGTTCTGACCCTTAACAACGCTGAATAGGGTTTCCTAAGAGCTGCTGGTGAGCTTGAATCACCGACATTGAGGTCCGAATGACCTTGCAGTACAGCACATTAACCCACAGTGCCATATCAGGACTCCAGATCTTAAACATATCCTACCTGAATTTACAAACTATCTCAAGAATAGATTTGATACATTAAACACTAATTACTGA